AAAACAAATTTTTTTTCTAATGCTTTTCTCGAGTAGCGAATTGTTTTGCTACAAAAAGCCGGTAAGTATCCCTGCTTCTGAAAATTCCTTCAATTATGCTTTTTCTCTACAACACTTTACGCTCTCTTCTGCGCTCCATCCACTCACTGACCATTTGACTACTCAAAATTGTGTTTTTGAACTCAATGAACCCTTTAATGCACATACTAATCTATGTAAATAAGTTTACGCGTATGCAAACATACTATGTACATGCATACTCATACATACACACCTGCCTTGCGATGCATATTGAATCACCAAGTTATGCAAAGTACGTAAACGTGCTGGTATCTCATAGCCAGCAGTTTGATTGGCAAATTGACTTGGCGGTGTTGGCGACATATTATTCCGCTCCTCATTCTCCTCATCGGGAAATAGTTCGACAACTGGGTCGGTACGTGATTTTTCACATGAATCTTCTTGCTCCTGATTATCATCATACTTCTTAACGGATGCCATGAATTCGAGATGTTTCTTCTCCTCTTCCAGCTGTGCTACCAACTGCTCGGAGGCTTGGAATTTTTGTTGTGTATTAGCGAGTTCATCACGTAACCAAGCATTTTCTTGATGTAAACGTCGTACTTGTGTTTTTAGTTTTTGTTTTTCGGCCTCAATATTTTGCAAATGTGAGGCTAAAGCCATCATCACCTGCGCCTCGGATAGGCCCAATTCAATATGTTCAATATTTTTACGCACTATATCGGATTTTTCATTGTCCCTATGCGCTTCGCCCATGCCAGTCATCAAGGAGACATGCTCCACACGCAAGGCTTCGAGGCCTTGTAGCACTGTTTTGGTGTTGCTAATTATTTCGTCTTGTGTCATTTGAGTCATCTTGCCAATGCTTTCGATTTTTCGTCTGCAAAAAATTTATATAAAAAAATTAAGAATAGACATACACTTTTTAACTGCAGTAGTACAAAATGTGTAGATTTGTGTGTGTATGCAGATGCATATTGAAAAAGTGTATGATTAATGTATATGTATGTATAGCTTACTACACTCAATTCGAAAACTTACTTTAATATAAGCAATTTAGATTTAATTTCAAACATCTTAGGATCAAGTGCCGCTTTATACTTACATTCTATAGGTTCTTATTGCTTTAGATGCTATCATTTTGTAAAAAAATATTTATTTTCAGCTGCCAATATCTTTTACCGACCGTAAGTGCGTACATTTCCACTCTCTCTGCGCTGTATGCATATGTCCAGTAATCAATAATTTTCCCAGCATATTAACCAATGATCTGCGCATGCGCGTTATCAAGATGATGTCATTTTCAACCCCAAAATAATATGTTGACTCCAAAGGTTACCATACGGGTAAGGAAGCCAATTGTACTCTAGGACATATTGAAAATGT